ATCAGATTGAACACTGCCACCATCATTCTCTGGTCCATATTGATTTTCACCCAGCACTTGCTTTTAATCACAGCACCAGCCAAAAACTCAGTTTAAAAAAAAAAAAAAAATGGCAGCATCAATAGGAACAGTGCAATGTACTGCTGAAACTGTGAAGCATTGTGAGCTGGTAGCAGTGGGGTCCAACAGAGGTCAAATATCACTGCATTTACTGTGAAAACTTAAACCTTCCTGCAGTGCTCCTATGGGTTTGCTGATCGCTCCAGGGTACCTTGGTGCAGTTTGGGAACCATGGCTCTAGCATCTATTCGTAGGTTTGTTATGGCCTGTCATGCAACTTCATTGGAAAATATTTGAAGACATGGGTCATATATATTCCACAACATCTAATGTAGTTTCTTGTTCAATAATAAATGCTCCATAAATACTCTCTTTCATTGAATCTATGACGGCATCGATTGCCAAGATGCATACCAATTTCTAGACATAGTAAAATGTTTTTTTAAAAGTGCATCATAAAATCAGTGAAATACAGTAGTTATTTGAATAGTCTGGTGTGAGTTTATTGCCCGTGTCTGAGTCAGTGCTACAATTTAATATTTACCCAGTGTTATCTATAAAATCTAACTCGTCGGTGTCATTTACAGGCTTAAAACCTGATCCTAGAAATAAATCCTAAAACAATAGAGTGTGAATAGACCCCTTCCCAGCACACACAACACCAGGAAAGCTTTTAGGTGGCTTTATCCTTGACATCTAGTCATTCTCTAGCTGTTTTATTTGAAAAAAAAAAAAAAGTGTGTGTGTGTGTGTGTGTGTGTGTGTGTGTGTGTGTGTGTGTGTGTGTGTGTGCGCGCGCGCAGCAGGGTGTTCCTGCCCTGTGGCATTTGTGCTCTGTGCATCATCCTCTGGTGGGAGGATGGCAGGGAGAGGTGATGACCAGCCAGCACATACCATATCCACAGGGCTTGTCCACCCTGTCTTGGGCTTTTTAGGGGTTTTCATGGCAGCCAGACTTACTAATTTTCCCCTGACCCCACTTACCAGTAACTGAAAAAAAGCATATAATTGGCTTAGAGGAGTCACTAATACATCTTTATGAGCCTGCATAGGCTCTTAACTCTTTAGAGTCAACTTCTTAAAAGAGACTAACCTTCTTTTTCAAAATAATTTTAAAGTGCATTTCAGAAAAATCAGAATGTTTAAGACCAGAACAACTTTAAGGATCAGTTAGCCACCTCCCCTCTGTACAGATGAGATCACTGAGGCCCAAAGGAATGACATGCGAAGCTCACGTAACTATAGTCATGCATTGCTTAACGATAGGGATACATTTCGAGAAATGCATCGTTAGGCAATTCCACTGTCCTGTGAACATCATAGACTGTACTTAAACAAACCTGGACAGTACAGCCTCCTGCACACATAGGCTCTGTGGTATAGCCTATTCCTCCAGAGGTCCTCAACCTTTTTGGCACCAGGGACTGGTTTCATGGGAGACAATTTTTCCATGGATGGGGGTTGGAGATGGTTTGGGGATGATTCTGCAGCTGCTCCTCAGCGCTGGCATCACCACCTCAGCTCCGCCTCGGACCATCAGGCATTAGATTCTCGTAAGCAGCATGAAATCTAGATCCCCTGAATGCCAGTTTACAGTGGGGTTCATGCCCCTATGAGCATGCCCGAATGCCCTAATGCCACAGCTGATCTGACAGGAGACAGAGCTCATTTGGTGATTCTGGCGACGGGGAGCGGTTATAAATACAGATGAAGCTTCGTGTGCCCGAGGCTCACCTCCCACTGTGCGCACCCCCCTTCCTAAGTTTTATGGAAGACAATTTTTCCATGGACGGGGGATGGGAGCTCTGTGGCCAGGCCACAGACTGGTACTGGTTCATGGCCCCAGGATGGGGACCTCACCTGTAGGCAACTGTAACACAATGGTAAGTATTTGTGTATCTAAACATGTAGATGTAGAAAAGGTACAGTAAAAATATGGCATAAAAGATAAAACTGGTCCAGCTGTATAGGACACTTACCGTAAATGGAGCTTGCGGGACCGGAAGCTGCCCTGGGTGAGTGGTGAGTGAAGGTAAAGGCCTCGGACATTCCTCTGCCCGACTGTAGACTTTATAAACACTGCACACTCAGGCTACACTAAATTTACTTTAAAACATTTTTCTTTATTGATAAATCAACCTTAGCTTACTGTAAATTTTTTACTTTATGAACTTTTTAAAACTTTTGACTCTTTTGTAATAACACTTAGCTTAAAACAAACATATTGTACGGCTGTACAAAAATACTTTCTTTATATCTTTATAAGCTTTTTCCTATTCTTAAATTTTTTTTTTTTTTTTTTACTTTTTAAACTTTTTTGTTAAAAACTAAGACACAAACACACACATTAGCCTAGGCCTGCACAGAGTCACGATCATCGATACCGCTGTCTTCCACCTCCGCGCCTTGTCCCACTGGAAGGTCTTCAGGGCAGTAACACGCATGCAGCTGTCATCTCCCGTGATGACAGTGCCTTCTTCTGGAGACCTCCTGAAGGACCTGCCTGAGGCTGTTTTACAGTTAGCTTTTTTTAAATAAGTAGAAGTACGTGCTAAAATAAAGATAAAAGGTACAGTAAATACACAAACCAGTAGCACAGTCATTTATTATCGAGTATTATGTACTGCACATAATTGTACGTGCTGGGCGTTTATGTGACTGGCAGCACGGCAAGTTTGTTTACACCAGCATCACCGCAAACGTGAGCTTGTAGATATGTTGGTTACACCATTAAGACATCGCTAGGTGATGGGAATTTTCCAGCTCCATTATAATCTTATGGGACCACAGTTGTATATGCAGTCATTACGGGGCACGTGATGGTAGCTATGTAAAGTGGGGCATGCCCAGGGCTTCCTGCTCAGTCCTTTCCTCTGTACCGAGAGCTACCTCCATTTTGAGCACCACCACCCAGCTAGCAAGCACATACTGCGTGAGGACAGGGGCCAGGTAACATCGCTGTGTCCCCTGTGCCCTGAAATGGTGCTGACTAACAGCAGGTTCCGATGCCTAACCTAAGTTGCCTTGACATATATTGATGGTTATGCCTCCAATATGTACTTGCTTCCTCAACAAGAGGACATCTATAGGTGAATTTAGGACAGTGAGTAGCCTCAAACAGTGGAGGCACAGAAAATGTGGAGAATCTTGTTTCTTCCATGATAAAACAACACGGCAATTCTGTTTATCCCTGTGCCTTGCTGTTAAAGGGATAATATCCTAAGGAGGCTATCTTCTTATCTTTGCTTGTACTTAACTGATGAATACCCATATCCTTTGGTAGCAAAACGCCATATAAAATAGGAGAGTAGAAAGTTTATATGAGCATTTTAAAATAACACATGTGAAGTATATACCAAAACGTCCCAAACTCATTCGTGAATCACTTACCTTGGGGATAGGTGGGTGTTGAGAATGGACTCTGTTGCTAATTCCAGAGTTTTTATACAAAACTCCTTGGAAATAATGGAATCATCAGACACTTTAGAAAATTGAACTCTACGTTCCCTCTTTCGTCCAGATTAAATAAATCCCAGTTTTGTGTCTATTTCATATCAGCCGTACATTCATGGAGCACTTTCTTCCATCATATTTTTAGCCACATTCTTGAGCCTTTTCTCTGCCATCGTGGTGGCTGTTGATAAAATGACCTAAACAAAACTTGAGGTGGCTGCCTCAGCGGATAGAACCAATTTCAATTTACTTCTGACTTTCTCATTTTCCATATCCAGAGGAAATGGCCCCTGGGAAGGCCATTGCCCTTGGGGAAGAGAACTTTGATTTATTAACACATTTCCTAGAAAATGTCGATTTCCTCTTCTTTGGTCCTGCTTGTTCATCCTTTGTAATTTGCTTTTATTTATTCCGGATTATATTCCATTCATTGGTCACAGCCCTCCCTCCACTAACAGATCCAGCCTGCCCGAGCTCTACGACAGCTCTCTGCATTGCAGTGAGGCTTGCAAAGGCTTTGTCCAGGCATAGGCCATTATTTTATCTTCACACAGAAGATAACCTCCTTAAGGAACAGTGAATTATACGCGTGTCTCTTGGAGCATTGTTCTGAAGTCCCCTCTTTGTGCTGACTCTGAAGTTTCTCCCCCAAATCCACCTGGATTCCCCATGCCAGGGAGCAGAAGATCGAGCTGCATCCTGGCCTTCCGTTTGCTATGTATGGTGACTGCATGAGCATATTCAATAAAACTGCCTTTTCTGGCCTGTTTCCGTAAAGGATGCTATATTACTGGAGAATTTAGAAAACTGTTTCCATCTGGGAAATACACCTCGGCTCTGAATTACGTAGGGCAAATCTGACCATTATAATGGACATAGTCATATGGGCAAAGAGGACCTGTGCTAGTTTTCTACTTGTTGCTGTAACAAATTACCCCATAGTTAGCGGCTTAAAAACAATCAAATATATTCTTTTACAGTTCCAGGGTTAGAAGTCTGAAATCCGCCTCACTGGGCCAAAATGAGGCTGGTCCCTTATGGCTGGTTCGTTCCTCTTCTGCGGGAAGAACCTGTTTCCTTCTGACCTCGGTCTCTTACTCAGATCTCCTGCCTCCCTCTTTTAAGGACCCTGGCAATTACCTTGGGCCCACCCAGATAATCCAGGGTAATCTCCCCCATTTCAAGATCCTTAATATAATCACATCTGCCAAGTCCCTTTGTCATTTAAGGTGACATTCCCGTGACAGTGTTCTATGTCCTTTCCTGTTGGGCAGGCTTGGTGGGGAAGAGACGTTTGTGGTGGGCTTGCCGATGCCCTTCGAAGACCCCACACCTGACTCCCTGCCTGCTGCACCTAGGACAGCAGCCAGGTCTCAGCTGCCTCCACGGCACAGTCAGGCGTGTCACAGTGATGCCCAGGAGCCACGCCACTGTGTCTACGATGTTTGCCACCCACCCTCCTTAACTCTGTCTTCTTTCCTTTCCAGCATTGTGTTAGTGCCGGGAGGCCACTGTGTCAGCAAGCTGAAAGGGAAACTGAGGCAAGATGTCGGGCCGGAGCGGGAAGAAGAAAATGTCCAAGCTGTCCCGTTCAGCCAGGGCCGGTGTCATCTTCCCGGTGGGGAGACTGATGCGTTACCTGAAGAAAGGGACGTTCAAGTACCGGATCAGCGTGGGCGCCCCCGTCTACATGGCGGCAGTCATCGAGTATTTGGCAGGTAACTCGAACACGCAGAGGAGATCCCCCACTCCCAATGGCCACCCTCCCCTGCGTCCCTCTTTCAGGCTGGGGAGGGATGCTCTGAATCCCTCTGTGACTGGATCAAGGCTACTGCGGGTGCGACAGGGTTGCCACTGGCCTGCTTGACTAAGATCAACTTCTGCAGGCTTTAGGAGAGGGAGGAGGGACAGGTGATCAGCATGGGAGGTGAAGAACCCACAATCAAGTGGTCTTCTAGACCAGCCCCGAAAAAGCAACATGCAAATGCAGTATATAAATATGTAGGCTGCCGAAGAAGACAAACTGCAGGAAGAATGGGGGAGTTGATATTCATTTCATAAAAGCGGTGTTCACTTTACATCAAATTCCTCATTAAACATCAGTTTTCCTGGTATGTGTAAACTAGGACTCAGTGTCCATAAATAACATCCACGTGAACATCAAAAGCACCTCCATGTGCTTTTCTGAAGCCGATGCCGTGCTCTGATCTTGCTCTCCTGTACTGAGTGGTTCTCTGTCTACTAAGGGTACATAGGAAATAGTTGCCCGTATTTGTTGTTAAATTTTTTTTTTTACTGAAAGATGAGATTTTTGCTGTGTGTTCTTTGTCTATTTGAGTAACTTTCTATTTAGCTTTTTTGGTGTTGTTCTTTTACACTGTTGGGGATGCTGTTTTAGAAATATATATATAAATAAAATACATAAAAATATATATATAAGTAAGTGTGATTTAGTTCCTCGTAGGATCATTTTAACCATGAGCAACAATGTCTCTAGCTTTGCCCAAGGTTAACAAGTTCCAGATTCCCCCGACACCGATGTTAAGTCCCTTGATAAGTCCGCCAGATTAAAAAGTACAACCTCCCCAAACTGTCCAACCCCAGGAAGCTGAGCCCCTCAGCATGGAATCCCCCAGGGATGTGGCAGGGCTGTCCCTGCTTCTGTCCCCAGGCTCCTCTTCCCTCCTGGTTCTCCCTCAAGAGCAATCTCGCCCCCCTCATTCGCTGCCCAGTCCTGCTCTGCCCTCTTAGTCACCGCTGCTGCCAATCAGCATTTACTGATGACAGGTTTGCTTTGATCCACGCATGGAAACATTCTCCTTCCTGGCGTTTCAATCAGGCAGACTTCGGCATCTTGAGCCTGTCTCTTGTTGTGAACTGAAAGGCTTGTTCCTGGGCTAAAAGGCTTTCAGATGCTTCAGGAGGCTGGAGAGAGGGCTGGAGGGCTCTGAAACTCAATCCTCTCAAGTGCTATAGTCCAAAGTGGGGTCACCAGGGCATGTTGTTGACAAGGGCTGGGGTGAGAGCTGAGACTCTGCTTTCTCACGAGCTCCCAGGTGATGCTGCTGCTGCTGCTGGTCCAAGGACCACACAGTGAGCAGCAAGACTGTAGCCAGTCTTCAGCCACCAGCCTAAAGACTTGGGGAATGCTTGGTTAGAATGCGGGTTCCCAGCCGTACCCCAGGGGGTCTGATTCACTGGGTCTGAGGTGGGACCCAGCAATCTGATGGGAGAATCTCCCGAGGAGGGAGGAGAGGGACTTTGAGAAAGGTATAAGAAGCTTTAAAACAACCTGTCAGGTCCATGTCAGAGGATGCCATTGCCAAGAACGCACCTGCCTCGGGGCAGGTCTCCATGTCCAGCATCATCCCGGCCACATGGAGGAGGAGGTGGCGTCGGTCTCCCAAAGCCCAGGCCTGCCCTTTCCTTCTTGTGTCAGCGCAGGCTGGAGTTGAGAGAGCAGAGGCGGAGATGTCAGTTAAAATCCAGACTTACCAATTTACCAGATCTGTTGCCTTAACCTCTCTGAGCTTGAGCTGTCTCCAGAGCTAGCGCCTTTAACCCGATTCAATGAGCCAGTGTATGTCAAAAGCCTGGCGCATAGGATGCACTCAATAAATGGTCACTCTTCTCCTCTCCTCTCTATTAAGAGCTGATAAAATCAGTCAAGGGAAAGTAAATGACTAATTCTGTTAAGGTGGTATATATTCAGGCTGAATTTGCATTTTAATGAGACAAGGAGTTTTAACTCAAAGGAATGAATCTTATTAATGGAATTACAGGCCACTCTTGAGTAAATGAAATGGGGGGGGTTAATCTATTTTTGTTTGTATTTTGAAGGAGCATCAGTTGATTTTGTTTGGGGAAGCGGGTTCACAGGTAGAAGCCTCCTGTCACTCTTGAACTGACTTTCACATACATGAGACAAATCGTGACTGAATGCGTCCTTTGGATCGGGACTTGAAGGTTCTGCCTTTCTGGGCTTACGGCCCAGCAGAGAGGACTAGATTCGACCCAGCACAGTAAGATGGGCCAGGCAGCCGCAGGAAGTTTGGAAGAGCAGGTGGGGAGCAGGGCCTGCCTATGTAAAGCAAGAGTTGTCGGACCTAAGCCAGGTTCTCAGCCCTGCTTTTTCTCAAGTAGATTGATTTTGGACCCTGATGCCTGGGTCCCGCCCCCCAGAGATTCTGGGGTTGTTTTCTGGCCATTGGGATTCTTAAAAGCTCCCCCATATGACAGGCAGCCGGTGGGGAATTGGTGGGAGTCAGCTCGAGAGGGATGGGGAAGGAGTTGGGCTGGGGGACGATGGTCAGGGAGGTGGGGATGAGGGGAAGACCCCAGGTTTGGAGAAAGTGCATGGCCCTTTCCAGGAACTGGAGGAAGTTCCATGTGCCTGGGAGGGTGAGAGGTGAGATGGGAGCCAGGAGGCAGGGGCCAGACTGTGACCATCCTTAAAAGCCATGTTGAGGATGTGCACATTTCTCTCCTCTCTCTCTCTCTCTCTCTCTCTCTCTCACACACACACACACACACACACACACACACACACGCACGCACACACGCACATGCGCGCGCACACATGCACACGTGAGCTCTCAAAGGGAGGTGACTTTGGAGCATCGCTCTGGCTTTGGGTGGAGAACAGTTGTCAGGGAGCAAGATCAGAGTCCAGGAGACCAGTGGGGACTGTTTTAGTGTCACCCAAGAGCTGACAGTGGCCAGGAAACCAGAGGCGCGCAGTGGGAGGGGGAGAAGTGCACATCCTGGGAGTGTTCTGGAGGGCGGGGCAGCTCTGCTCCGTGATGGGCTGGATGGGTGGGGAGGGGCGTCGAGGAGGACCCGGAGCCTGGGGGGCTGGACTAGCTGCTTTCTTTCAGACCCCTCCACCATGGGTTGAGGAGTGGAGATGCGAACTTGGACATCAGGGGTGGGGATGGGCATAGGAGTTTGGCCAAGAGGAAGGAGAGAGAGGAAAGCAGCTGGTGGGTGGAGAATGGTGCCCACAGCTGAAGTGGCGGACAGTGGGCAGGAAATGGGTTGCAGGAGGAGGGGCTCGGCATAGATCTGTGGAGCTTCGTGCTGATAAGAGGTCCAGGAGAGCAGAGTGGGCAGGAACGCTGGACTCAGCCAGGACCGAGCCTGCACTCTGGCTCTGCCGCTCACCTGCTGTGAACCGGTGGGCTCATGCCTTTACTGCTCGTGATGTTACTATGAGGATTTCATAAATAATGCATGAGAAGTGCTCAGCACATGTCAGCATCTCCATACATGCAGCTATTGCTATTAGTGAGTGAAGACCTCCTAGGCCTGTCTGGAGCCCAGGAGCAAGATGTGGGCTGGAGATTCACATGGTGTTAAGGCCATGCATGGGAGGGAGGTCACCCAGAGAGCACAGCGACGAGACTGGAGGACCCAGGACCCAGCCTGAGTGACACCGGTGTGCCCAGGTTTATGGACCAGGCAGGGGGAAAGGATGGCTGAGGAGCATGAGGAGGGAAGCCAGAGGTTAAGGAAGAAGAGAGTGAGCCTGCAATGCCGGGAAACCGAGGGAAGGGACTGTGGGAGGCAGTAACCCCTAAGGGGTCACGCTGACTAAAACCAGGAAAGGGCAACAGATCTAGCCACGTCAAAGTCACAGTGACCTCGGCAAGGATGGTGTGGGTGGTCAAAGCCAAACTGCAGTGGGCTGAGGAGTGGGAGGTGTGGACTGGGAGATGAAGGGGGTGGGGAGCTCTTCACACGCAGCCGCCACTGGCTCCCATTATTTAATGTGTTAATAAAGAAGCACACAGACCAGTATATCCCAGATATTGCTAATATTTTGAAAACTATGTTTCAGTGTAATTTGTTTTGTCATCCTATGTATTTTATTTTATGTACCTGTAATCTTACCCTGACACCCATTAGGGTGGCTATTTTTATTATTAAAAAAATAAGAAGAATAATAACAAGTGTTGGCAAGGATGTAGAGAAACTGGAACCCTTGTGCATTGCTGTTGGGAATGTAAAATGGTACAGCGTTGTATATAATAGTTCGGCAATTCCTCAAAAAGTTAAATGTAGAGTTACCATGTGACCCAGCAATTCCACTCCTAGGTATATACCCGAAAGAATTGGAAGCAGGAACTCAAACAGATATTTGTGTTCCCATGTTTGTAGCAGCATATTCACAATAGCCAAAAGGTAGACACGAGCCAAGTGTCCATCAGCAGATGAATGGATAAACAAAATGTGCTGTGTATGTATATATACATAATGGACTATTATTCGGCCATAATATTTTGAAAACGCATGAAATTCTGATACATACTATAACGCGGATAAACCTTAAAAATATTATGCTAATGAAAGGTGGCAGACACAACAGGACAATATTGTATGATTCCACTTATATGAGGTACCTAGAATAGGCGAATTCATAGAGACAGAAAGTAGAATGGAGGTTACCAGGGGCTGGAAGAGGGGAGCGGGGAGCTACTGTTTAATGGGTGCAGAGTTTCCATTTGGGATGATGGAAACTTCTGGGAACGGATAGTGGTATGATTGCACACCATTGCAAATATACTTGATGCCACTGAATTGTATACTTAAAAGTGGTTAAAATGGTAAAGTTTACGTTATGTATGTTTTACCACAATTTAAAAAAAAATAGCCAGGCGTGGTGGCTCACACCTGTAATCCTAGCACTCTGGGAGGCTGAGGCAGGAGGACACCTTGAGGTCAGGAGTTCAAGACCAGCATGAGCAAGACCGAGACCCCGTCTCTACTAAAAATAGAAAAATTAGTCAGGCATGGTGGTGCAAGCAGGCAGTCCCAGCTACTCAGGAGGCTGAGGCAGGAGGATCACTTGAGCCCAGGAGTTTGAGGTTGCAGTGAGCTATTATGATGCCACTGCACTCAAGACAGGGTAACAGAGCAAGGTTCTATCTCAAAAAAAAGTAAAATTAAAATTAAAAAAACACCTTATTCTGAAAAGAGGTTGCTGGACTTCACCAGACCACCAGAGGGATTCCTGGCACCAGCAAGGCGTAACCCCTGCCGGAAATACTGGCAACAAGGAGCCTGGCAGGAAAGCTGGGCCTTTGGAGACCCCCGAGCAGGCTGGAGGCTCTGACCCCAGGTTAGGGGGCTCCAGCTCCCAGAAGGGGAAGGGGTAGTAGGAATAGACGCATACACCACAGCATCCCCCGTGGGGACATCAGAGTCTTGTGGACACCGCCTCTTACATGCAGGCGCAGCCTCTCCTAAGTGACCTGCATGACACCACATTGAAGTGGCAGTGTTCAACTCCCCGCTCCTGCCCAAATCTCTGTGACAGACGGTGCTATTTGCCCCACAGTGAACCGGGACTTTCCCGCTGATGTCCTGGGACCCAGCCGGGCCACCGTCAGTGGGCTTCCTCTGGCCAGTTTACCCCTCCCCTCGGATTCCTGTCTGTGGTTTCTGAAGGCCCTCCCTGCCACTCACTGCCTCTGGAAGGGAACCTGGGCCTGCAGGAATGGCCAGGAAGAAAAGGCTGAGAACAGTCAGACGAGAGGATAAACAAATTCTCAGAGACACCAGGCCAGATAGCATCTGCCTTGCCCGATCCTCAGGACTGGCTGCCCAGCTAACCCCAGGTTCACCCGTCATCATGACGTGAGAGCCACGTGGTGTTTCCAGCCCGTGTGAGGAATGCCTGCCTAACTGCTCATCTAGAACATCCCGTTGACTTGAACATGCTCAAGCCTCCCAGAATGGCCATCATGTTCATACGTCAGTTTCTTGACCTGTAGAGCTGTGATAATGTCGACTGGTTTGCTTCCCCAATGTAAGCAAGGAAATATGGAGCAAAAAAACAGCCTCAAATTCTGGAAAAGTATTTTGTATTAATATTTATCAACAATGGATATAGTGCAAATGTAAGATATTAAGAATGAATTAGTCATAATCATTTTTATGGTGAGAATGTGTTCTGTAATATATTTTTAACTGACAGAAGAAGTAGGTCTTAAAATGGGGTCGAATTTCAGGGCATCTCATGAAATCACAGTGTAACATAGAAACCCAATATTTACACACCATTTCCACATAATTGGGTCTCTCCACTTAACACCAAGCGTTTTCTTAGCTAATGATTTGCATTATTACATTTGTATTTTGGAAATATCGGATGGGACTTCCCTGGATACTTTGTGGCCCAAGCAGAGCGGAGGGCACAGACAGAGCCCTGGGGGCAAGTGGGCAAGGAAGAAGGGGCCGGGGAAGGAGACAGTCTTCAAGGAGCGGTCACTCCATGTCCCCTGCCCCAACCCTATGTTTAATGTGGTTTATCCTGTTTTCTGGGGGCTAGAATCAAAAGGATTCTTCTTCAACAACAACAAAAAAATGGAGTTTTTAAAGCTTTCACATAGAGACTTGCTTCATGACTCTAAAGTGTACAGTTTCCCGTTGTGCACAATTAAGGGGAGTTTGCAACACCTGCTCATTTCAGGGGACTGTCATTTCTGGGGCCCGCACCTCGGGGTAGGGAGCACTCCACTCATCCCTTTTTCTAGATGGGTGTGGGGATCAAGGAGCCCCCAGTTTTAAGCTTCTGAGCAATCGAATTCAATTTAGCATCTTGGACCATCACTTTCCTGCCTCTCGTTACCGGCACTTAGAGGAAGAAGTTAAGCGCCCTCCCCAAGTTCACCAAACTAACTGTCAGCATGAGAGGCAGGGCTAACTGGAGCTTCGGGAAGCCCCGGAAGAAGGTCAGGTTATTTGCAGCTTGAGAGACAGATGCAAAGACGAAAAATCTGCCGGAATCAAATGCAGCACAGACAAGACTGAAGGCTGAGAGCGCAGCACAGTTCAGGGCACGCAGGTGACGCTCAGCGGACACGCGACCGGGCTCTTGAACTACCCTTCTGGTGTAATTTATAAGAAAGCAAACCTTGATTCCGTGTTCTAGTTCTTTTCTTCGAAGAGAAAAACTCCTTAATAATAACACAGCAGAAAATCTGGATCAGGTCGTTCTTAGCTCTTTTGGATGTTTAGTCTGGACATCCTTGGACAGGGATGTCCCTGTTTAAACGTTTGAAATAACATTCATCATCATTAAGAGTTTCAGACGTTATTATGGCAAATATAGCCACACGAGCTACAAAAGTTTGCTACATTCTTGACTGTTTTTATTGATCTCAGGGATTTTATTAATCCTGCGAAATCCTTATATTGGCAATCAATAGGAAAACTGGATTTACACAACACAAATTCGTTTCACTGCAGATTTTGTAGGAAGATCATTATTCCTTAAGCAATAGAGACTTCTATAGCAAACCCCTCACTTCTCAAAAGTCACACTTCCAGCAACAGTAACCATCTGGAATACAGCTGAATAAGGGGAGTGAAAAGAATGATTTCTTCAGCCAAAAGGGATGTTGTAAAGCTCATGTGTATTATTTTGGGAGAGTCTCTGTCCTTTCGTTTTGTACACAATGTAAACCAACACTGGTTGGGCAACAACCTGAGTTCAGCAAACCTGATTATCTAACATGGCATTAATTTCAAATATCCCACTGTCCCAGCAAGTATGTTCGCGCTCCTCAAACCACAGTGCTCCAATCTTTGATTCAGAAAACACGGTCACTGTATAAATGAATTGTTGGTAAATACAACCTTCCTTGCTTAATAATCTGGAAAAGATGTGAGAATGTATTTGCAGTGATTTAGCATTTTTTCATTATGAAAATGCTATATTAATGTTTAACTCCAATGTTTATTCAATTTTTTGTTAATCACATTTGCTTAGTTAATATGGCACACTTATGCCAAGTTTTTATTCCTGCTGTAGATTTTTATGAATGATGGCAATTTCGTGTGATTTTATTGGAAATTAGATTGACTGTAAAGACTCGTACAGAATCGCTCATTAATTTTAGGGGTTAGTATTTATACCATTATACCAGCGCAGCCCCCCCACACACGCACACGCTTGTACACACTTTGTCCCTTCGTTCTCAGTGAGTCAACACATTGGCACATTGCCACCGGCTTTCTAAGGGAAGGAATTTTCTTTAAAGGCTCATTCATGCTTTTGAGGGCAGGCAAATTTGATGTAGTAGAACATCCTTCTAAAATTGAGGAAGAAAGAAAAATGACAAAGTAAGACAGAGGAGGAGGGGAAAAACATACAAATGGTAGAAATCAATGCTACAGATTTTTTTTTTATTTTGACCCCAAATATTATTTTGATAGCATGTGAAATAGCTTTAGGAAAATTCCTTTTTATGAACTTTTTCCCATTTACCAAATGGTGTGTTTGTTAAAGTCACAGCCATTCTTAAGCTCTGAGGGACATAGAACATGCCTTCCCACCAGGTGTCTCAGGCAATCCGCCTTAGGAATTCCCTTTCCGGGCTGAGTATTTCCTCCTCGCACAGTGTACATCAGCTCTTCCCGTCCCCTTTCCTCTAGGACAGGAGGGCCCTGAGGCATCAAGCAATGGGAAAGGGAAGTCTAGAAGCAATACCGATGGGTACCAAAGACAGACCTTACCTACACCACTCTTCTCTTCAAAGACAGCCCTGCTGTCCGTAGACTGAAAAAAATTTAGGTTCTATATTAGGATTCTGTATAGATCAGGATTGACTTCCACTGACAGTGGCTTGAACATTACTGTTTATTTCACTCACATACCAAAGAAGTCTAGAAAAGACAGTCTAGATTGGTGAGGAGACTCAAGTCTCCTTCTATCTTATCGCTCTGTCGTCCACAACTTCTTCTTGTTGGTCAAAGATGGTGCTAGAATTCCAGCCATCATGTCCTCAGTCTGCCAGTAGCAATGGAAGGACACGGCCGATTCACTGGCACCCTCCCCATGCATACCGCACAACTGCTTGCCTTCTATTGGCCAGAACTTGGCCACATGACCACACTTATCAAAAAGGGAGGGTGGGAAATAAAGTCGTCCTTCCTGCAGTGATGGGCTCAGCAAAAACACAGAGGCCCATATGCTAAGGAAGGAGAGTTCACGTTAAGGGACAACAGGAAGAGTTTGCCACAGGACTGTATATCATCTTGCTAAAATATCTTACTTGTCTGTGACCCTAGATCTCTCCAGCTTTCTGGATTTCTTTCTAGGCCCAGGCATAAAAATCGTAAATGAATAAATGTGATCAAAGTTGAAGGCTTTGGAAAGCGCAGACCCCGTTATGTGATGGCCTGTTAATACTCCCTTGTGATTTCAGCGGAAATCCTAGAATTGGCTGGGAATGCCGCGAGGGACAACAAGAAGGCCCGGATAGCCCCAAGACACATCCTGCTGGCAGTTGCCAATGACGAGGAGCTCAACCAGGTACGTCTGAAACACTGGGACATGCCGCAGAATGGGTTTGCCAAACATGCTCCTGCATGTGGACCCGGCGGGCCACGAGTCATTCCTGCTACTGTTCCCAAACACGGTTGTACAAAAAAATTCAGACCACATAAAAGAAGAACAAATTCTGCTAGCTATATAATTCAGATTCAATATAAAATTTCCTCTGGAATAGATCCCATTATATATTCTAGGTCTTGTCAGACCTTCCTTTCCTCTTTAAAGACAAGTTCTGTGTGTTGCTGAGGAAGATGCACATGTGGTCTCTTCACAGCTTCTTTGCCCAAACTTTGTTGACAATTTTTTCCAATAAGAGCAGGAGAAACCTTCCTTATGTATTAGAACTGACCCTTTATATTTTGAAACTGACTCCAAAATCAAGTGAATGCTCCCTCTCTACCCTAAGATAGGCAAGGTGGTGGGTGAATAGTATAAGAATTTTTATTTCTATTTATTTTCATTTATAGTAATTTTCTGTTCTCATTCTTCTCAAACTGTAGTAAAGAATCAGTTCTTATTGCCAATCTATCATGGACTGATAATTTAAATGTAATAAAAATTAATTACTAGAAAAATATAAAAACAAGGGCAAACTATAAACCACAATTTTTTATTATATCGATAGATGTACCGCAACTCTGTCAACTTGTTGTAAAGGATTCTAGACTCTTACTCGTGCTATCCGTATTTATCTTGTCACAGATGGGTAACATTCACGGAGAGCCATGGTCACAGACCACGCTGGGGGTAGTACTGCTTTAGAATATGCAGAATATATTCGTGTAGCAATACGTGTCAATTATTTACAAATAAATAAACGTATCAATCGGGAAGTGCATGGCCAAACATATTTTACTGATGGAATGCACATCCTAGAGTGTGGAGACCACTGGTCTGTCATTAACTGGGGCTAGTCTTTGCATTAACCTTTGAACTTGATTTTGTCAAGCTGCGCTCCCCACATGTGAAGCTCTTTATGCTCCGTTGTGTCTGGAATTCCAGAGCCCTGGGCAACATCCCTGGTTTCAGCTTCTATAACTCTTTTATTTTGCTTTGCTTTGTTTTGCTTTCTGTACAACAACACGGGATGCCTTGATACCTACGGAGAAATGCTCTACAACTGAAAGAGGGGAAAGCCAATTAAATTGTGTATTACGCAATTTCTTTAGGAAAGCAAAGAACAGATTTAAGCCTTGTTTTTGCCAACAGTTAGAACTGTATGCAATCCAGAAGCGTGGGCTCTTTGCTGCACGAGCTCAGGCCTCTCTCTCTTCAGCTGCTAAAAGGAGTGACCATCGCCAGTGGAGGTGTCCTGCCCAGAATTCACCCCGAACTGCTGGCCAAAAAGCGAGGGACCAAAGGCAAGTCGGAAACTATCCTCTCCCCGCCCCCAGAGAAAAGAGGAAGGAAGGCCGCATCAGGCAAGAAGGGAGGCAAGAAATCCAAGGCTGCCAAGCCGCGGACGTCCAAAAAGGTGAGTCAAGGCTGTTCCATGGGCCAGGCACTCCTGCTGCTGTGGTCTGAAGGCTGGTGTCCCCCCAAAATCCCTAAGTTGAAACCTAACCCCAAGTTGATGGTATTAAGAGGTGGAGCCTTTGGAAAGTGACAGGTCATGAGGACAGAGCCCTCATGAATGGGACTAGGGCCTTTCTAAGAGGCCAGAAGGAGCCTGTTTGCCCCTTTGCCATGTGAGGACACGGTTAGGAGGCATCCTATGCAAGGAAGTAGGCCCTCGCCAGACAAGGGATCTGCTGACACCTTGACCTTGGCCTTCTGCCTCCAGACCCGTGAGAAATAAGTTTCTGTTGTTCATGAGCCACCCAGTCTGTGGTGTGCTGTTATAGCAGCCTAAATGGACTAAGACATCCACGGAACAAGAGGCAGGTTTAAAGATGAAACGATGGCACCTCTGAAGGACTGGGGACTTTCTGTAGCTTGGACCTGGGAGAAAATAACAAGATTGTGTGTGTAGAAGAATAAAGGGCCTTTGAGATTCGAGCCCAAATCATCAAACAGGGTCATCTAGAGATTTCCAAACTCAAAGAATGGCTGGTCTTCAGATTCCTTTTACTGCCCCTCCCCCAACCAAAATCTTAAGAGGGAGAGGATAGCCTAGAACCTGTTTTTTATTGCTCTACAGAGCTCCATGTTGCACACTAAACAAGCTCTCAGGTAGTCCTCTGAATGCAGCCAGGGGCATTTCAGATGTTGTGGATAGCTTGATGTGCTATGTAGCTTAGCTCAGAGATGCCACTTGTGGAGTAATATCTTCATATGCTGCCCAGTACAATAATCACTAGTCACATGTAGCTATTTAAACTTGAATTAAAATTAAATCAAATTAAAAATGCAGCTCATCAGTTGCACTAGCCGCATTTCAAGTACTTAGTCACACTAAAGATCACAGACAGAACATGATCACAGAAAGTTCTATTGACAGTGCTGTTTTTGAGGTTGTAAAATTTTCATTCCACAGACCTCCATGATAACACAAAAGATCGTGTAAGAGGCTGGGCGCGGTGGCTCATGCCTGTAATCTCAGCATTTTGGGAGGCCTAGGTGAGAGGATCGCTTGAGCCCAGGAGTTTGAAACCAGCCTGGGCAACAAAGCAAGATGCCATCTCTAAATTTTTTTAAAAATTAGCCAGATGTGGTGGTGCACACCTATAGTCCTAGCTACTTGGGAGGTTGAAGCAGGAGGATTGCTTGAACCCAGGAGTTTGAGACTGCGGTGAGCTATAATCAGGCCACTGCACTCCAGCCTGGGTGACAGAGCAAGACCCTATTTTAAAAAGGTGGGGGGATCATGTAAGAGCTCACTCCACTGCCACTGTGCCCCAGGGAAATCCCGGGGAGGAGGGAGGTAGGGCAGTGGTCCCTGCACAGCCCCACTGGGCTCTGATGCTTGTCACCATAAAATACAGGTATTGAAAAGAGTACCAGTATCCAGGTTTGGGTGAGGACTATCCCTTTAACACACTTTGTATTTTGCAATACCCTTTTCTTTTCCTTATATTGCTCTCCTTTGCTTCCCTCCATCAAGAAACAGTAGAACGTAATGCCTAACCATTTCCTTTTGTATCCAAGTGGGTGGCAGCCATGGGAAGAGCTTAATAAAGCCACATTAGGCTTTTTCTGGATTGGTTCTCATCCATCCTTCTGATTTCTACCAACAGTCCAAACCAAAGGACAGCGATAAAGAAGGAACCTCAAATTCCACCTCCGAAGATGGGCCAGGGGATGGATTCACCATCCTGTCTTCTAAGAGCCTTGTTCTGGGGCAGAAGGTAATAAAGAGAACTGCAACGTGCTCTAGTGAAACACTATTATACTTTTATAACCCACCATTTACAAGCAATGATGCCTCCATTATCCCTTGTCCCCCTGACATGACTTTCACTCTAGTCTTGAATTACTCATTTTTAAACTAAAGAGCTATGGCAATTTCTGCACTGTGAAAGTAATCAAGCACTTTGGTGCTGAAAATTATTAATGCTGGCATTGGTCAGCCAGAGGTAAACGTAGAGGATCTTTCTGGTCTGTAGCTACTGGTTTTGCTGGGAATTCCATACACCCAGTTATTTCTGTGCCTACCCAAAAAATCCATAGCTAACTTTCAAATAGCTTCTGAGAGGTCTATATCTTGCATGGTTAAGTGTAATTTATCAAAGAATGAAAACAAAAATATGTTTCTTGAATGTCCCTGGTGTTAGACATGAATTATTTGCCAATAATTCAGCCAGCTTGCCTTCCTGGGCTGCAGAAAGAAAACAAACGGGGATATACATTTCACCAGTCTTCAGCAACACAACAGCAACCCAGCCAGAGATGCAAATAATTCATGCCTACAACTGTAAAGTTTACTGAGCAGACGATTAATCTACCAAGTCAACTGGGGCTGAAATAAGATACACCAGGAAATAGTCAGTTAACCATATCTCTGGTAGCCCCATGTTTGCAGCCTAACAATAGAGTGACCCTCCACACAAGCAATCGGGGAGAGCACATTCTAAGAAGAGCATCAATGTGGCAGGTTCCTAATTCATCACTGATAAAAACAGGGAAGCAAAGAGGTGGAATTTATGTCCCCTCTCAGGACTGTCCATGGTTACATGACAATTAACTGTCTCTGACTTAGCCAGGGGAACATAAAGTTCCTGCTCCCATGGGCAAACAATGGAGAATGCCCACCATTCCACTCTGCTACGAACATATAAGGCATTTCCCAAGGGTGGCGCCCAGAATGTAGCCCCCAAAGGGCAAGGTGGCCAGAGATTGGCAGGTTGGAATCTCAGAGCCCATTGCTTCTCTCCAGCAAGGTCAGTGGCTTCAGGGCCCTGCCCCAAATGTTCTGTGCTGCTCTGTGGAGTAGCTTCCCCTGCAGGAGCTGCTCAGAGGATGCAGCTCGTAAAAGCAAGGCCACCAGGGTTGGGAACCCAAAGCATAAGCTGCAAGGGACAGAAAGAAGAGGGGAGGTCCTATCCCGTTTCGGGGAAGAGGAGGCAGACTGTTGCATACTGCTAGCCCCAAAGTGAAGATCAAATCCACTGAGCTCAAGGAGCCTGTTGAAAACCAAACACCCGGGAAACTTGACATTGTCGCTCTATGTGTAGCCTTCATGTTTATATTTGGTGTGAATAATTGAAGAGAAGTAATGGGTGTCAGGTAAAATGTGAGATTTTCAATGGGAGTTGACCTCTCTCATATTCTCCACATTTTCTTCCTAATGCAGCTGTCCTTGACCCAGAGTGACATCAGCCATATTGGCTCCATGAGAGTGGAGGGCATTGTTCACCCAACCACAGCCGAAATTGACCTCAAGGAAGACATAGGTAAGGTCCTGCAATGTGGGTAGAGGTGCCATAGAATAGCCCACTGTTCATTGTCAACTGGCTACCCCACTGCTTGGGGTCCCATGTCAAACTCTGTCCTTGTGTGTGATTGAACAGCTTCACTAGAGAATAACCAACTTTGTCTTAATCCTGCATATATTTTTTGAAATTTATATTGAAGTATTATATGAAAACAGATCATTAGTGTATAGCTTGATGAATTTGTCTCAAAGTGAACACGACTGTGCAACCAGCACCTAGTCCGGAAGTAGACCCTCACCAACACCCCAGAAGTCCCCCTCCTCCTCCCTTCTGGTCATTATCCCTTCCAGGGGTAAACACCAGCCTGTCTTCTAACAGCATAAATAGGTTTCATCTGTTTTGAATTTTATATAAATGAAATCATGTACTTTTCTGTGTCTGACTCCTTTTGTTTAACTTAGCATTTGTGAAATCCATCCATAGTGTTGAGTGCGGTTGTGTTCATTCATTTTCCTTGCTGTGTAGTCGTACACTGTACAAACATACCACAATTTATTGGTCTATTTTATCATTGATGGCAGCTGGGTAGTTTCTAGTTCGGGCTATAATGAGTAGTGCTACAATAAATATTGTTGTACATGTTTGGGATAAAACTTCACATATATTTTAAGGTCAAATATTGAGAATGCTATCGGAAAAACAGGAAATGGACATCTAGAAAAAATTTGGTTTTCCATAAAGCTATGAGCATCGTTATTTTACCAGTGGTTTGCCATGTGTCCCACGAGTCGGGGGAGCTGTTACTAGGCAGGGTGGAGGGGCTTGCAGGGTAAGCTGTCAAGGGCACTGGAAATAACAGCAGGTTAATAGTCACCACCTCTGGCCAAGTGCAGTGGCTCACAACTGTAATCCCAGCACTTTGGGAGGCCAAGGCCAGAGGATTGCTTGAGCCCAGGAGTTTAATACCAGTCTGGGCAACATAGTGAGACCTCGGCTTCACCAAAAAAAAAAGTCACCATCTTGTCCACTTTTACCAGACAGAACTGCCTTAAACTCTTCGCTGAAAGGGTAAAGTGAGCAAAGAAAGGGCTTTGTCCCTGGGATACAGGGCTTGCCTCTGAGGCAGGTGATTGGAGGCAGGTGCTAGTTGTTCAGCCTGGTGGTAGCACCAGGGGAACCAGGCTGCTCGACTCACCCATGGTTCTGTCCTGGCCCAGAGGCCACTTGCTTTGCTGAACAGGAGATAGGACAGCACTGGGGAAAACCAGCATCACAGAGAAACAGGCCTCTCCCTCCCCCATGGAAAGACACCCCTCGGGGCCTCAATCTCAACCTCTGAATAGGTGTCCTAACTTCTCACAAAACAAGTTGCAGTGTTCCTATTTTATACATTTCTATAGTGTTCACACTTTTACATCAGAAAAACAACAAAGATACTTCTTCTTTTTTTTTTTTAATGGCAGCATGGTAGAGTAGAAAGAGGACTGATATTAGAGCAAAAACTCCAGCTCAGCTCCCAGCAGCGCAGTCTTAGGAGGAGAATGGGCTGAAAGGTGGCCAGGTGGTTAGAAGAGCAGGTTCCGGGTCTGTCTGGTCTGTGTCCCGGCTTTTCTGAATCGCTTCCTAGCTATGTGACGTTGGGCAGGTTTCTTAGCCCCCATCTCTGTCTCCTTCTCCGTAGGTGAGGATGACAATAGTACCTGTCCCACAGGGGTGCCGTGAAGATTAAATGGATGATACATGCATGGGCCTAGCACAGTGCTGGCCCCTAAGCATTAACCGTCAGTTTTCTTTTTCATTGCTGCTGTGACGTTGGGAGCCCTCCTGCGATGAGATCATTCTCCAACACCATCTCCCAAGCCAACCATCCCACGCAGCTAAGGCCCGGATTTATTCTTTTTCAAACATTATGTTATTACAGAAAAGTTCAAGCATACACAAAAATAGCAGAAAAGTATAATGAAATACTACACAACTAGATGCAATAATCACCGCCCATTTCCAAGTTTGTTTCAGCTCTTCCCTTCTCCACATACTTCCAGACCTCATTTCATTTTATCTGTGGCTAGTTCAGAACGATCTCTAAAAGATAAGGGCTATTTTTAAAAACATAAGCACAATACCGTTACCATACCTTAAAGAAAAGAACATCAACAAATAACCAGTGTTCCAATTCAATTATATCATAAATGCCAATTTTTAAAAAATTTATTTGATTAAGGATCCAGATGAGTCCACACCCTACAATTGGTTGAAAAGTCTCCTGTAGCTCATAGGTTCCCCCTTCATCTCTCTCGTATTTCCTTGCAATTTATTTGTTGAGGAAGCTGGCTCATTTGTCCTATAGGGTTTCCCACAGTCTGGATTTTGTTAATTGCATCCTCCTGGTGTCATTAAATACGTTTCTTCCTGTTTTTTTATAATATAAATTGGTAATTGGATCTAGAGGTTTAATGAGGTGCAGGTTCAAAGCCTTTGGACAAGACTGCTGGGTCAGTGCAGGGGCGTCTTGCACCAGCAGGCACACATGCCCAGTGTCTCTCTCTGTGATGTCAGCAGCCGTGGATGCCCCTTCTCTACAGGGTGTCCCAAAAGTCGCCATACATAGCGGAAATGGGAAATTGTAGCTAAACGTACCTTTATTTACAAAATATTCATTACAAAATTTTACAAATTCTCTATGTATGGTGACTTTTGGGACACCCTGTAGATTTTTCTATTCGTTAGGGGTTGCAAAGCAGTGATAGTCTCATTCTAGCATTCCCTCGTTTGTTCATGGGAATGCTCGCACAGAGAGAAACTTCCTCATCACCTCTGCAGGCTGCTTTCTTCTTAACAGTCTTCGGTGAGGAGGGTGGACTTGCTTGGCCTTCTCCACACCCCAGTGGGCCCCTGACCTGAACACAGAGTGCGGCAGTGTAGAACTATTTCCCTGCTTCTCAGTGTGAGCCAGCTACCAGCCTCGGTTACTAGGCCTTCTCCAGGTTTCTGCACCCAGCAGGTCACGGTGGCCAGGAGTCTAGGGGCCAGAAAGGAGACCCAGTGGTGCTGGGCATAGTCTGTGATCACCATTTCCCAGCTGTGTTGTTGAAACCCAAGCACATTAATGATGAAACCCCCTCCCCAGGCCCACCTGCAGTGCAGAGTGACTGCTATTAATAGAATAGACATTCGTCCTAAACAATCTGCACAATGCATTGTGTCTCTCCAAATACATCTGAGTGCCTGAGTGGGGAGTGGGGAAGCTGTATCACCCAGCCCTAGGGAAGCCTCTGAATTGTATTAATATTAATAATAATAACGATTAATAAAGAGAGAGAGCTGAGACTTGCCCCAGACATCCAGATCAGCAAGTTCCTTAGAAGATGAAAATACCTGAGCGCAAACACCTGGTCTCCTGTCCAAGAGCAGCTGCCATGCTGGTCTGGACAGAACATGTCATCTCAGAGACATGAGTGTGGGGAGGGGGGCGGGGGTCCCCTGGTGCTCACAGGTGGGGCTCCTGTTGGGCCAGAGTGGAGTCCTGCCACCTCCTGGGGGTCCCACTTGGCCTCTTGTAGGAGCAAGACCGTGAGATATTGAGTAGAGAATTGCCCTAACATCAAAGACTCAAGAGATCTGCCAGCAGGAAAGTCCTTAGAGATTGGCCTCTCAAATCTCTGTGTTATTCCATTGAAAACTGAGACCTAGGTTAGGGGAGCAACATGCCAGGCTGTGTCTGTCCTGACCCCAAGGACTTACAATACGTTGGTGGCCTAAGATGGGTGCAGGACTTCAGAGCTCTCAACACGGGTACTGAACCCGTAAAACTCAATGCTGGAATTTCAGTTTTTTAAAATCATCCTTGGAACTCACGTCATGAGACTGCTTTATGGTCGAATCACCCCTAAAAGGGTCCTTTTGAAAAGTATGCTAAACGAATAAAAATTTTAAAGAAACAACTTGCTACACTTGCCAATCTAAGTCTGCTGGACAGGGGCCCAGAGACTGGGCCACCAGTGACCACTGGCAACCAGCATAACAAGTAGGAAGTTTGAGTCCTAGTTTCTAAGTGTTTTTTTTTTCCTGGCCAACTAAGAATTTTGTCAGAAAGTCTAATTACATCAAAAGAACAACCACAGTGGCTTCATTGTTTTCCTCTGCAGGTAAAGCCTTGGAAAAGGCTGGGGGCAAAGAGTTCTTGGAAACAGTAAAGGAGCTTCGCAAATCCCAAGGCCCCTTGGAAGTTGCTGAAGGTAAGTGTGGAATCGGGCCCTACAGCCAGCGTGGGGAGGCACCGCCCTCACGTGCCTCCTGCACATTCGGTTTATGAGACAGTATGCCGCAGCTAATCAGAAAGCGATTTTAGCATCTCTCAGATCATTTGAGCAGGCCCCATGCATCCTTTCAGATGCACTTTGGGGACTATAACATGGCTGGATAATTCAAGTCAACTTGCACCAGATCCCCCAGAATGGTCTGGAGCCATTGGGTTAACTACGTGTGTGTAAGCGGGGGTGTAAAATATACATACTATAAAAGGTACTGATGAAACCATTTTAAAGCGTGTGATTCAGTGACAATACCTATTCCTATAATGTTGTGCAGCCATTGTCACTATCTAATTCTAGAGCTTTTATGTCACTTCATACAGAAACTCCCTACACATTAAGACGTCACGCCTTCCCCCACCCCAGCCCCTGGCAACCACTAATTTCCTTTCTGCCCCTATGGATTTGCCTATTCTGGACGTTTTGTATAAATGGAATCATCTATCATGCGAGCTTTTGTGTCTGGCTTCTTTCACTTACCGTAGTCTTTTCAAAGTTCATCCTTGCTTTAGCATATAGTAGCACTTCACTCCTTGTTATGGAATAACATTCCATTTTGTTTATGCATTTTTCTGCTGGTGGATAATGGAGTTGTTTCCACCTTTGGCTATTGTGAATAGAGCTGCTGGGAACATTTGTGCACAAGTTTCGTGTGAACACGTGTCATCAAAGCTACTGGGGCAACTTTTTGACAGAGGGATCTAACCTCAGATCCATGTTCACACCTACACAAAGTCCCCAATCAGTTCGCTCCTCAGACATCCAGTCGGTGCCAAGGGCTGCACTAAAGCCAGGCCTTCAGAGAAAAATGACACCCACTGCTGTCCTTAAGCACATAAATGGGGCACAGAGAGGGAGCCACGACCTCAGCGTGGGGGGCTGGGAGGACTGCAGTGAGGGCCTGAGACCACCTGTGCGAGGACTGCCACGCACGGCAGGGAGGCTTGGGTCAGCTTTTAGGAGAGAAACAGCAGCCATGATGAGGCTGGGCCACAGGCTGGGCGAAAAGCTCTGAATCTGACCCTGTATGGCCAAGAGGGGCCACCTTGAAAGTTGAAGTGAGGACTGTCCTGATTAGATTTGACTGTTAGAAAATAATGAGGGCTTCTGGCCCAGAAAGAATATAGTGCACACTTCAAATCTGCACACGCCACTCCCCTATGGGTAGCAGTGATAGATGCAGTTTCTTTTTTAAAACTGTAAGAAAGAGCCACACTCAAACACAAGACAAGCATATGTGTGAACAGGGACAGAAGAGCCACAGCTGCAACTGCACAGCTGTAGGCCCCCGGGCCCCAGGCCTGGAAACATGCCGAGCCCCTCACGCATGGAGGGGACCACAGCCAGGACCACTGCTCAAAGCAAGGGACTAGAAAGACTCCAGCAGCCTTTATAGGAAGCCAAAGCTCTGGCCACCACACCAAAACAACAGCAATCATCAACACAGAAGAAGACCTCTGTGACCAAATGGGGGCGGGGGGTTCTCCTCACCACCAACCGAACAGTCAGTCCGCAGCGGACACCAGCTGGGTGTCCTCCAATCCAATTCCCACACTCTCTACCTGGAGGTGGAATCAGATACCACAGGTCGGGGCTTAATTCCCAAACTGCCCCTCCC